TTTATTATGTCCTTCTAACTTTCAGTTTCATTTGTTCTTCTTTTTCTAGTTTATTTAATTGTGAGTTTAAACTGTTTATACGGGATTGCTTTTGTTTCCTGAGGTAGTCCTGTTTTGCTATGTATTTCCATCTTAGAACTGCTTTGTGGCATTCCTCAAATTTTGGACTGTTGAATTCTTGTTTTCCTTTGTCTCCTTGTATTGCTTGATTTATTTTAATTAGTTCACTGATCCATTATTTAGAAGTATGTTGTTTAGCCTCCATGTAGGATTTTTTGAAAGTTTTTTATACCACTTTGGTCTGAGAAGCTGCCTGATGCAATTTCAATCTTTTTTAATGTATTGAGGCTCTTTTTGTGGTCTAGTATATGATCTATTCTGTGGGACTTTTCATGTACACTTTAGAAAAATGTGTATCCTGCTGCTTTTGGGTGGAATATTCTGTAGATATCTGTTAAGTCCATCTGATCTAATGTATTGTTCAGTGCTTCTGTCTTCCTTGTTTAATTTCTGTCTGGTTGATCTGTTTATTGATATGAGTTTTGTGTTAACGTCTCCTAAAATGAATGTGTTGCAAACTATTTCCCCCTTCAATTATATTAGTATTTCGTTTACATATTTAGGTGCTTCTATGTTGGATGTGGATATTTTGAATGGTTATATCCTCTTGTTGGACTGACCATTTTTCACTATGTAATGTCCTTGTCTCTTGTTACTTTCTTTGTTTTGAAATGTATTTTTTCTAGGTACTGTTGTTCCTTATTTTTCCCCATTATTTGCATGAAATATCTTCTTTCATACCTTTGAGTTTCTTTATGTCTTTGGGTCTAAAATGAGTCTCTTGTAAGCAGCATATAGATGGGTCTTGTTTCTTTATCCATTCTGCCACCCTATGTCTTTTGATTGGTGCCTTCAGTCCATTTACATTTAAGGTAATTATTAATAGGCATGTGCTTATTGACATTCTATTCATTGTTTTTATACCTCCTCTCTGTGCCTTTCTTCCTCTATTGTACTCTTCTCGTGTTATTTGATGGTTTCTGTAATGTTGTGGTTGGATTTCTCTTTTTTAATTTTTATGTATCTATTATAGGCTTTAGGTTTGTGGTTACCATAAGGTTCAAGGATAGCTTCCTGACTATATAGCAGTCTATATTAGGTTGATAATTGCTCTATTCCAAACACAGTCTAACAGTACTTCATTTTTCTTCTTACTCCTCTTCCACACTTTGTTAGATCTCATAATCTGCACTTTTTCTGTATCCTTTGACTGATTTTATGTATATTTGTTTTTACTACTTTTGTATTAATTTTGTACTTCCTTGGTAATTGGGCTACCCCCTTTACTATGGGTTTCACTGATGAAAACTATTTAGCCTTAGGAACATTTCCATACACAGCAGTTCCTTTAACATATCCTATAATGCTGGTTTAGTGATTATAAATTCCTTGAGCCTTCATTTATCTGGGAATTGTTTAATCTCTCCTTCAAATTTGAATGATAATCTTGCTGGGTAGAGGATTTAGTTAAAGGTCCTTCTGTTTCAGTAAACATATCGTGCCACTCCCTTCTGGCCTGTAAAGTTTCTGCTGAGAAACCTGCTGATAGGCTTATGGGGTTTCCATTATAAATAATCTTTTTTTCTCTCTATGGCTGCTTTCAATATTATCTCCTTATCCTTCTTTGTCATTTTAATTATTATATGTCTTGGTGTTTTCTTCCTGGGGTTCCTTTTGTTAGGTGCTCTCTGTGATTCCATGACCTATTTTCTTCTCCAAATTAGAGGAGTTTTCAACCACTATTTTCTCAAGGAGACTTTCTATCCATTTATCTCTCTCTTCTCTTTCTGGTACTGCTATTAAATAAATATTGTTTCATTTGGAGTTATCACACAGGACTCTTAGCATTCTTTCATTTCTAGAGATTCTTTATTCTCTCTGTTCCTCAGCTTCATTGTTTTCTCTAATTTCTATCTCATTGATTACCTCCTCTACTTGCAGCTATTATTCATTCCCTCAATTGTATATTTCATTTCTGCTACTGTATTCTTCAACTCTGAGTGGCTCATTTTCAGATCTTGTATCTCTTTGTTAAAGTCCTCCCTGAGATCTTCAATACACAGATCAGTGAGCATATTTATGTCTGTTACTTTGAAATCTTTTAGAAGAAGACTGATCTCTATTTCATTTAGCCCTCTTTCTGGTGTCTTATCCTGTAGTTTCATTTGGAACATATTCCTCTTGCCTCCTCATTTTGTCAGGGTTTCTGTGTTTGTTTGTTTTTTGTATTAAATGGATCTGCTATGCTTCCTGGTCTAGACAGTAATGACTTTATGAAGAAGTTATCCTTTGGTGCACCGAAGCTCAAGACTCTTTCCTCTCCAGTTCCTGGTTCTCCTTTGGAGTGGAGCCCAAGTTGCTCTTGGTAAGCTGTGGGCATGGCCGCCTGTCTTCTGCTCAGTAGTGGTGTATCTCCATCTATCCTGGAAGACAGTTGGCTTCATCTGGGCCTTTGTGAGCAAAGTGGGGGTGCTTTTGCTGGGATTGTTGTGGGAAGGGCTGCCCTCTGCCTGCCCTGCAGCAATGGTGGGACTGCTGGGTTAATGGAGAGGGTAGGGTGATCTTGCAGCTCAGAAACAGTAAGTCAAACAGGCATGTGTGGCACCAGGCTGTGTTGGCTGCAAGGAGAAAGCAGCACTTGGAGCTAGCTCCTGCAGGCACCTCCTTAGTTGGGCTGAGACAGGGCTGAGAAATATGGTAAAGCCTACCTTTGCCTGGCAGGCAGCAAACTATGTTGCTGGGGCAAGTGTGTCAGGGGAGCATGCAGGGAAGCACCTCAGGCTGAGCTGCCAGTGAGGGGGATGGAGTGTCTGTGCCTCCCAAGAATGCCCAACCTGTTAGGCTAAAAAAATGTTATCCACACGCCCTTTCTCCTACAGAAAGAACACTGTCCAACCTTCACCCCTCTGTTACCCCTCCCACTGCTGGCAAGTCTTTCAAACTGCTGACTCTGCTTTGGGTCTTAGCAGGACCAGCAGAGCATGCCTGTCCTCCACAAATGGCTGGAGTCTCCACCTCCCAGAGTGCTCCAACTGTCCCTGGTGTTCAGTTCTAAAAATCACTGGAACCTAGTGCATTGTGGACTCCCAAAGATCTCCAGGGCCAGGTGTGCAGAGTTTCTCTGCATCTGTCCCCTCCCTGCTCTGTGGGCTGGGATGGTGGAAGGGTCCTGACCCTGGCTCTGCCGCTGTTCTTCACCATGTGTAGGTGGTCTGTTCTGCAGTCATCGGGTCATTTTCAGGTTTAATTGACATGCTATAGTTGCTTCTTTGGTTTGTGTGTGGGAGGAGGTTTCTGCCTTGCTTCCTGACCCACCAACTTTCTCCACCTTCCCAAGATTGATTTTTTATAATTATGGATATACAACTTCTTCTTGAATAGACTACTATGTCCCAACCATATGCCATAAGTCACTTGACCACATATACAAAGGTCTATTTTGGGGCTCTTTATTTTGTTCCATCAGTCTATTTGTTCATTCCTGCACCAATAACATATACTGCCTTACTGACCAAAGTACAACTCATCATATTAACCAATTCAAGGAGAAAAGTATTTTATCAATGTGCCAGAATGACATCTGACAATGATCAGAAGGCATATCTAATAAAAAAGTTTAAATAGAGACCAAAGGAAACAACTGAGCCACAACAAAGTCTATTTACCTCAAGCATAGAGCAAACATTACTGTAAGTGATTTCTATTAAAAACAGAGAAAAACAGCCAGACCCTGCTACCACGACTAACCTAAATCTTATTGTGGAGATTATTATAATAAGAGTAATTAATAAAATACTAACTCTAAACTCAGAATAGAAACCAAAATTGTATGTTTGCAGTTGACATGGCTGCTTAGAAAACCAAGAATCTAGTTAAAAATAAATTACATCAAAAAGATTATTGGGTAATGAATAAAGCTGTGATTGCATCTATACTGAAATTTTATATGACAGTATTACAATAAATAGCCAATATAATCTTGGAGAAGGCAAGTCTATCTAATAATTTAAAAGATTTTGATCTAGAATATTTTTAAGAATCCCATAATTCTTATGTGAAATTTTTTTTGAAAAAGGAACACGGACAAACTCATGAATTGGTACGTTGTATTGTTTAGAAATGAACAGACGTGAAAGGGTGCTTAACTCACTATAAAGCACATACTAGAAATGGGGATAGAAGGAAATGATACTTTACTATTTGAAGGATTGTAAATTGGCACTACAATGATGTTCTCCACTCCTACAGCAATATCTAGTGAGGTTGAAAGTGAATATAACCTGTGACTGAGCAATCCCACTTTTCGATAAAAGTACCTCAGAGAAATTCTTGCTTATGTCTACCAAGAAACAAACATATTCAGTAAGGTATCTTTCAATAAGAAATTGTATATAACCTAAATATTGATCAATAAATGGCCTAAATACATATCAGTGTATTAATATAAAGAATAGGGCTAGGGGTTTTCTATTCTATTGAAAATCAAAATTTTTAATTAAAAAAATGTAAGCAGCTGATTGGGTAACATGCTATGAATTGCTTTCTTTGCCATACAGATAACAATACACCTGCCATAATGCTGACATTTGTATCCTTGAAGCCATTTCTTCTGGTTATGGCAACATCTGCCAAAGCAGAATCACATCTGCAGTAGGTATTGAGGATGGGAGTTCCACAATGATGTCTGTGATACATTGGATTAGGTAAGATGAAACTTTTTTGATAATCTATTGTTAGGCACTTAATGTGATTTTTCCCCAAAAATATTTATAGTATACAGAACTCCCATGCTTGTTTGACCACAAAAATAACTTTCTTCAAGTACCATAACTACTAATGTTTTGTGGAACACTTTCAGAAATTTTGAGTTAATATACTGTCTCCAGAGTTAATATACTGTCTCTTTAACATTGAAAATATTACTAGGCAGGAGAAACACATTGGCCTATTAGCAAAAATTAATTTTATTATAGCACTTAAAATACTTTTTTTGGTGTGGTTATATTTTTGTGTAAACATTGTATATACTGTTTACAAATGAAAGGCAATTTGAAATCATGAGTAGGAAAGACATACTTTGTTCTAGATGGTGAATGAACATTCAATGACATCCGCCCAGTCTGACCACTCTGAACAAAATGAACCTAGAAGTACAAGTCTTTATGTATGACTACAGTGACATCACAGAATTTTCGTTGAAAATGAAGTGTGAATATTCATATTTATTCTGTGGAAGGTAGAAAATTTTCAATGTTGAGTAACTGTTTTTCAAATAATTCATTCCTTTTTTAAAGCTGATGAAGCTAAGACTCTTTTTAAAGATATTAAGGCTGCATCTTGTTATTTTTTTCAACATTGTTACATTGTACATTAGAAAAACTAAAATCTGAAAAGCTAATTAAATGACAACAGGTCAGGCCCCTGAATATTCCTGGTAAATCATTTCACATTACAGTATCTTGAGCAACTTTAATTATTTAGGTTCCTCTAGATAGTTCATTGTATTTTTATACATATTGAAATATATGTAGTAATACATGTAACTAAAAACTTTAAATCTCATTGATATATATAATTATTTCACCTTTCCCATACCTAAAGCCATAAATGAGTCATCTTTTTTCCCTCAAATAATAACTGCCAATTTTATATTAATGGTCTTTTCAAAGAGATCATCCTTGGATAAAGTCTTTTATTAATTATTACATTAATTTCTGCATTTATTGTTTAAATTCCTGCTACTGAAGTTTAAAAAATATATTAGTTAAAAAATATATTTTCTGGCTTAAGCTAATGCTTCTTTTTTTCAACATCTATATCAATTGCCTGTTATACTGTAGATAGGGGGACAGAATGGTGAATAATACAAACACTAGTTCCTCAAACCAGGTTTTTTTTTCTAAGTGCATTCAGGTTAATTTTCTACCAAGTAGCCTTTTCATTTCCCATAAATTTTTATTTGTAGACATCACATTATCATGTATCACTAAGTAGTCTAACATTTTAGATTTGATTTTCTACTTAGAAAATTTACTATGGAAATTTTCAAATGTATGCAAAGGTAGTACAAGTAATACAATGAACCCTGTGTACCCATTATTCAGTTTCAACACTTAGCAACAATTTGCAAATTTTGTTTGAGTTTTTCAGCCCACTTTTTGTTTCTCTCAAGTATTTTAAAGCAAATGATAGACCTAATTTCACACTTGACTACTTCAGGTTGGATCTCTAATGCAGAAGGATCTCTAATACACACACACCAACATCCAGACCCATGCCACGATCATGCCTAACAAAACAGATATTGCTTAATACCCACTCTAGGCTTACATTTATCTATTTGTACAAATCACAATTTATTGACCTTGTTTACTTATTTTCTGTATTCTTATGCTCTGGCATCTGGGGACTTGATCCTGGAGAGAGTACCCCTCCCAGGGCTAGCAAATTCCTAGACAGCTGACTTCCCTGAGAGCATACCTATACAAACCAACCAATTCAGAGCCCATACCCCAACTATCTCCTTGATCAAACTTTCACACACCAAGGCAATATCATCCCACCCTAAATCATCCCAGGGCCAGGTACAGACGAGGAGGGGCCACCTCTAAGCTCAGAGCCCACCAAAATTATTACAACTACCCAATCCTAAACTTGCTCAGTGTACCTACCCAGTGTCACCCATTCCTTTGAGGGGAAAAATTCAGTAAAGGCTCCGAGCCATGCTCTGCCCTCCCCCTACCTGTTTCATAATAAAGCCTTGCAAGGCATGCGGTGCCTCCTTTTTCAAGGCATCTCTAAAGATAAACTTGCTTCATAACTATCATTGCCATGTATGTGCGTCTTACCATACCTGATTAAAACAAATGTTGGGTACATTTTAACCCAAGGATTCCAATGCATTGTATACACTGTATTTAAGTGGTAAGTTCCTTAAGTCTTTTAATTTGTAAGATTCTGTTATTTTTGCCTTGACATATATTGGTTAAGAAATCAGGCCATTTATTTTGTGGAACTTCCCACATGCTGGATTTGGTTGTTTGCATCTTTGTTTCATTAATTTTTTCCTTTATTGGCCAAGTTTCCTGTAGACTGGCAATTACATTTAGAAACTAAATTATACTTCTGGTTCAATATTTTGGGCAAGAACATGTCACAGGTGGTGCTGTGTGCAGCCCTTGCATCACATCAAGGACACAGCCTGGCTGACCTAATCTATGATCATCTATCCCATCACTTTCTTATTTGTATTATATTGAACAAGGTGTTAACTGCTGTGTGCTATAACTTTTTCAGTTGTAAAATGGTATTACAGTGCTGTCGCAGAATCCAGATTGTCGCAAATTCTTTGACACTCCTTCCATCAAGAGATGGAATCCACATCCTTCCCTTTGCATCTGGGCAGACTGGCTGCTTAGACCAGTAGAATACAGTAGAAGTACACTGTGCCAGTTTCTGGACCCAGGCTTTACTGGTAGAGTTTACTTCATCTTTTGAAATAAAACTCAAGTTCAGACCCTGAAATGTTATGTTTAAAACATCTGGCTGCTATGCTGACGAGAGCACGTGAAGAGGCCCTGAGACTACACAGAAAGGGAGAAGCACCTTGCTAAGTAAGCCGGCCTCAGATGTGTCCCCCGAAACATCAGACATTTGAGCGTCTTAGTTTTGGTGAAATAATTCTGGATCCTCCAAACCAGCTGCTAGCTATGTGCCACAAAGTGACCTCAGTTGACATCAAATGTCAACCGACTGAGCCTCTGTGCAGATTCCTGACCCACAAAATCAAGATACATAATAAAATGGTTGTTTTAAGCCACTGAATTTTTTATTGTTATCATTACTGTTCCTCTTCTAAATATTCACATGACAGACAATGGGAGCAATAAGTATGTAAATACCTTCCACTAACCCTTATCCCTGTTGAACTTAACTTATTTTTGTTAAAATAATGAAAATGAGAAATTCTTTTTCAATTTATTCTTTAAAAAAACAGATATTCTACAATCTATATTCTCTGGCCCCAGTCTAAATTTAACTTAAAATTAACAAAAGATAACATTAAAAAACTATTTGGAAATTAAGTCATGTGTATTATAACCACTACATTTATTTTTAAAAATACACTGTAGCCTTTTTTAATGCTCAAATTGTCCTGTCTTAGGTCTGTGGTAATGCCTTCAAATGGGCTCCTGTGTCCTTATGACCCCCATAGCCTTTGATAGCTTTTCTTTCTTAACAAATGCATTGGTCAGCTATAGAGTATATTAGGGCATTTTTAATAAATGAAGAGGTAAAATGAAGTGTTTTACCTTTAAGAACTATATTTTAAGACAACCAGAAGTTGAAGAGAAGTTTCTTATTATTAGAGAATTGTAGCTATTAAAGGTCAAAAGAATTTTGAGAAACCATACTAATTTATGACATAATGGATCTTGGCAGTGATATCAATAGATGCAAAGACCAGGGTGATAAAGATTGATAGGAAGCCTTTAAAAAATTGAGCAGAATGAGGGAGCCTATTAATCTATGTTAACATCTCTAAATTAGGTCAGCCAGGCTGTGTCCTTGATGTGATGCAACATCTGCACACAGCACCACCTGTGACATGTTCTTGCCCAAAATACTGAGCCAGAGGTATAATTTAGTTTCTAAATGTAATTGCCAGCCTACAGGAAACTTGGCCAATAAAGGAAAAAATTAATGACACAAAGAAGCAAACAGCCAAATCCAGCATGTGGGCAATTCCACAGAACATAAATGGCTCAATTTCTTAACCAATATATGTCAAGGCAAAATAACAGATTCTTACAAATTAAAAGACTTTACCATATTTGTTGTATTAATAGGATTAGTTTTTTAGAATGAATGTGAAGTTTATCAGGTTTGAATGGTGGTGGAATACCACCATGTTTTTTTAATTATATAAAACCTCTTACGCCATGCCCAGGTGGCATGTATGAGGGAAGCAAAGGGGATTAATTACTACATTCATAGTGTCCTACAACACGGGATTAAAAAGACTTTCTTACATTTTTACATTATGAATTTTCAGATGATGGGTGAGGTGCGAATGTTGTCTGAAGGCCTTCTTACATTCCTTACATTCATAGGGTTTCTCACCAGAATGAATTCTCAGATGTTGAATAAGGGATGAATTAAGTCTGAAGGCCTTTCTACATTCCTTACATTCAAAGGGTTTTTCACCTGTATGAATGCTCTGATGTAGAGTAAGTTTTTGGCGCAATCTAAAGGCCTTCCCACAGTCCTTACATTTATAGGGTTTTTCACCGATATGAATACTCTGATGTTGTGTAAGTTGAGAGAGTAATCTAAAAGCCTTCCCGCATTCCTTACAGTCATAGGGTTTTACACCAATATGAATACTCTGATGTGAAATCAGTTGTGAGTAACGACTGAAGGCCTTCCAGCATTCCTTACATTCATAAGGTTTCTCACCAGTATGAATTCTGTGATGAAGAATAAGATGGTAACCACGACTAAAGGTCTTCCCACATTCCTTACATTCATAGGGTTTCTCACCAGTGTGAATCCTCTGGTGGAGTGTTAGCTGTTGTCGCACTCTAAAGGCCTTCCCACATTCCTTACACTCATAGGGTTTCTCACCAGTGTGAAGTTTGTGATGTGCCCTAAGGCCAGAGCCACACAAAAAGGCCTTCCCACATTCTTTACATTCATAGTGTTTGTCACCAATATTAAGCTTCTGATGTCGAGTAAGGTGTGCATACTGTCTAAAGGCCTTTCCACATTCTGTACATACATAAGGCTTCTCACCAGTGTGAATCCTCTGATGGAGAGTAAGTTGTCCACGTACTCTAAAAGCCTTCCCACATTCTTTACACTCATAGGGCTTCTCACCAATATGAATTTTCTGATGTAGTCTAAGGTCTGGGCCACATATGAAGGATTCTCCACATTCCTTACATTCATAGATTTTTTCACCAGAATGAAGCCTCTGATGTCGAGTAAGGTGTGCAGTCTGTCTAAAAGCCATCCCACATTCCTGACACTCATAGGGCTTTTCACCAGTATGAATTCTGTGATGAAAAATAAGTTGCTGGCGTACTCTAAAGGCCTTCCCACATTCCTTACATTCATAGGGTTTCTCAACAAAATGAATTCTCTGATGTGGCATAAGAGATGTACGTTTCTGATAAGAAGACACTTTTTGAGATGTAATTTTCACTTGGCCAAAATATCCCTCTGGTCCTTCAAATTTTCTTTTGGACTCCCAATCATTTTTTAAAATGAGGCCCTTAAGGCCATGTTTTTTAATTCTTTCCATTATCTTCCATTGGGATAAGCTGATTTCATAAATGTCATTTTCTGAAGATAATGTCTTATACCTGGTCTCCAAATCTGTAAGAAAACAAGAGCGATCATGTAATATCTTTTTTCTAAACGAAGTAATATTCTACAATAGAAGTAAAAGACAAAGTAGCACCCAGTGAAATTCTAAAAATATTGTTAAACAATTTGGAAAAAAAAGCATAAGAGAACACCAGGAAAAATGAGAGTTCGTGTAAGAAAGTGAGATTGGTCATTTAGTAAACATTTTAAGTCAGTAGTTTTCAAACTGAGATATAGATCAGAGTCACCAGGGAACTTGTAATGAATATTGAGTTTATATATAAAGTACTTCTTTTTTAATTCATATTTATTTAATGCTAATAACTAGAGAACAGGATGATGTGGAGAAGTCCATAAGACTCTGGGTATCACTTGGTTCAACTAATTGAAAAAAATTTGTTAAAAAGGGACATCTAAATTGAAATTTTTGTTTTGTTTTGTTTTATTAAGATATCATTGATATACAATCTTACGAAGGTTTCACATGAGCAACATTGTGGTTACTAACTCACCCATATTATCGAGTTCCCCACACACACACCATTGCAGTCACTGTCCCTCAGCGTAGTGAAGCTATGGAGTCACTACTTCTCTTCTCTGTGCTATACTCTGCCTTCCCTGTGACCCCCTACATTATGTGAAAGCACTTGGAACAGATTCTACAGTCCTAGGCAATCCAATATTTAATATTCTCCACATGATTCTGATGGAGATGAAAAGTTGAGAGTTCATACTTAACTTTTTCCAACTATTTCTCTTTATTCGTAGAATAAAATAAAAATTCCTCTCATTTAAAGGCCCGTACTTACCAATAACCTATCATCTCAAATCACTGTCCTCTTGCTATACTACCTGAAAAGGTCCCCTTTCAGATCTGAGAATATGTCCAACTTACTTCCATCTCTCAGGACTTCTCACGGTCTGCTCTGTACCTCACAGATCTTCGGACTGCGCTTTGCATACCTGGTTCCTTCTCATCCTGAGGTCTTAGGTTAAAAGTCACTTCCTTTAAGGTTGACTCTACTGTTAGTATCTAAAACTATGTTGTTATTTTATATCTATATCACATATGGATATCAACAAATATCTATGTTGAGATTACATAATTATTAATTTTGCCATTTTGATTCTGCTTATTTCTTACCCCTAAACCTAAAGGGCAGTAAGAATTTCTATGACTCTCCATTATCAACAGCACATAATAGATTTCATTTATCTAATTCCCATAGTTACATACCTATTCTGAATATATTTCTCTGCCTCTAATCTGTCACACATTAGTACAATGATTAAATATTCCCTTTACTCACCCAACTAAACATATAAATGGAAAGTGGAGGATGTATATTCCTATACAACCGTCTTTGCTTATACCCTATGTCCACTCTCTCCCTCACATAGCTACAGGTTACTTTTTGGCTCCATATCAGAACCAAGGAGTTCTACCTAACCTACTCAGTTTCTCTTTAAGCTTATTCTGTTAACTTATCTATTTTACAAATGCTCAGCTGGTTTTGTTCCTTTATCCCCCTGTTCAGGTCTTTTCTCTTCCATTCCCTCAGAGGCAAGGCCATTCCTGCATTTCCTAGAAATGTGTACCAGTGATTTTTTTCAGACAGGGAAACCTGTTTACACCTTACTGAAGTTCTTAAGAAATCCTTAGTGGAAAAAAAAGTAGATATGCTATGTAAGGAACTCACTAATAGAGATTAAGGGGCCTGTAGTCACTTGAGTGTGAAAAAATTTGCTAACAAACATCATATTGGATATAACCAGAGGCTGGTAAGCCAGTAGGAGGAAATGTCAGGAAAACTTAAGTGCTGAATGAGATGAGTGTGAGAGACAAAAAAAAAAACAATGTTTTTAATTATTATAATATGGTCTATATAAAAAAATTGAAATTACATAGAAATTTTCTACTAAAACCAGAAATAATAATAAAAAAACTAAACTCACTTCAAATTTTATAAGTCTGTATTAAATAACTCTTAGATCAACAGAGAAATAAGGTCTAAAATAGTGTTTTTTTAGAAAACACTGGTAGTAATTTAAAAAACCCTATGTTAAATTAGTATACAAAATAAACTATCATGTTTAGAAAAAATTTAAAACAAATACAGCAATAAAAATGAAAGAATAAAACGTATTAAAAATCCCACTCTAAAAAGTTAGAAAAAGAATAAACTGAAGAAAAGCAGAAGAAATTAAGTGATATAAAAACAAAAAAATTTTCCTAAAAAAAAAAAAAAAAGCAAAACAGATGAAACCATTATTTAATGTAATGAAAAGAGCAGATAGTGAAAAAAAAAGATTATTCTGCCAATAAATTTTAAAACATAGCTGAAACAAGTAATTTTATAGGGAGATATAATTTACCCAAACTGACCAGAACAGATATAATGCTTAAACAGATTAATTTCCATACAACAAACAGAATGTGGTCAGACTTACCATCTTAATCCCAAGAAGAAAGCTTTAAAAAGGTTACTAGGTTACTAAAGCTTTAAAGAACAAGCTATCTGAATTCTATTTAGAATGAGAACTAAGAAAAGGATGACTTCCAAACTATTTTCATGAAGTAATATCATACTAAATAAAGATCACTCATAAAAAGAAAACTACATAATAATTTCTGAAAACTGATGTAAAACTTCTAAACATCTAATAAAATAGCATGTTCAAAAACCCAGTGTTATTTATTCAAAGAAGATTAAAGTGGTCAATATGGGAAAAATCTATCAGAATAATTCGACATACTAAGAGAGCTAAGGAAGGAAAAGAAAACTCATATGATTAACTCTACAGATGCTGAAAAGACAACTAAAAAATGTACTTTCCTAACTAAAAAAACCCACCTCAATAAAACAGGAGTGATTACTTCCTTAAAATGATAAAATATATATTATCTGAACAAAAAGGCAGCCTTGAAGTTATTAGTCAACATAATTAAATATTAGGGGGAAAAAAACAGAAGAATTTAAAAGGAGGTAGTAAAGCAGTATTTCCAGATGATATGATTGCATGACTGGAAAACTTAAGAGGTTTAAATAATACAAGTGCTAACAGAATTTAAGAAAGGTAGTCGGATATAAAATCAGAATACAAAAATTATTAGCCTCCATAGATACATTTAACAATACCATGGGAAAAAAAGAGATCTGTCATGAAAGTAACTAAAAGAATAAATAAAATATATGCATAACCTTCATGAGGAAAACTCTGAAACACTCGTGAAGCATTTGACCTTACATTTTCACAAAAGGGAGATTTCTCTGCACAAGGTGAGAGTGGCTTACCAAACATATTCATGCCAAGAAGTCAAGCAGGTGTGAAGACAATGGCTAACAACAGAATAAATACTGTGTTCAAAGTTGACAGGTATATTGAATCCTGGAGATGATCTCCCGTAGACCAGAGAGCAGCTACTATTGTCTGTCTCCAGAGTAGGCAACAGACATGGAGGACAGGGCACGAGAGACCAGTCAGTGGCTGGTCATGTTCTGGGGGTACAGTCACATGGATGGGCCCAGCTGACAGCAGCGTTAATTCAGTTGTGTTTGTTCCCAACAAGTTTAGGCAGGTTTCACTACCCCCACCTCTAAAAAATTAGAAAAAGAATAAACTGAAGAATTAGATTAATCTAATCTAATTAAGCAACATGTAAATTCATGAGTAACTATGAGAAGAGCCTGATTCTACAAAAATAAAATTGCACATTTTGGAAAAACTGGTCATAAATATACACAGTTAGAAATCACAGCTGTCAAAAATTAGGTGTGGGAGGGCCAACAGTAAAAGATGGGGGAAAACATAGCAATCAAGATGTAGTCTACATTCACACTGAGGTTTGGTTCTTGTTATACTTAAAAAGATTTCAAACTAGAAATAGACTATGGATTATGTATGTGGTTTAGATAAAAAATTAATGACAACACAGAGAAGACAAGTAGCAATTCTATAGCATCTTACTATGCTGATGGACAGTGACTGTAATGGGGTATGTGGGGGGAACTTGGTGATGGAATTGGTAAACATAATGTTCCTCATGTAATGATACAAAAAAAAAAACTGAACCAAAAAAAAAAAAAATTAATGAGACACAGTAGAAAGGCAGGCTTGGACAAATTTCCGAAGTATTGGCAAACAGACACACATTTTAATGTCGAGAATTAATACTTTCGTGGTGTGTACATGAAATATCTGACCCATTTTTATGAGTTAACAGACCAAATACTAGTTCGTTTTAATCAAAGGATTTCTACTGTATTAATAAAGATTGCTGATGTGAAACATAAAAACATAAACCCTTTCTTTAATCAGCTAAAAATATCTAAATATAAAAAAAGCATAAATGTGATTCCCCCTCTGTAAGAGAATCAGCCTTAATTAAATGGAAAATGTCACATAAATCACCTGGACTTATTACTTAGTCTGTTTGGGCATTTTACTATTAACCACCTTGCTTTGTTGATATAAGAAGGTCTGGGATATAGATTTAGTTCCAAGGAAGTCCTATTTGCATTTGAACACTGGGGATGGAATACAAAGATCTGAAAGTAATCAAACCTAAAATCCAAGGAACTGTACTTCTGATAACCAATCAATCACATTCTGAATAAACCAATACAGAATACTACTGCTGAGCAATCTTCACGTTCTATTCATGGTCATCTTTCTGACTTCACTGAGAAAACAGCAGCAACAGAAGGATATGCCGTCTTCTCTCCACCCAGACCGACAGACCTGCCTTCATTGACTAGTTTTCCCTTTTACTCCTTCTTGTTCCCTGGACTCTATGGCCCTCCTCTAGCTCCACATCAAGGACACTGCTCCCACAACCATGCTTTCTCTCTCACATTAACTTCCCCCACCTACAGAATCACTCCCATGAGCACATAAAAATGATTTAGTGTATCATGAAATACAGAGCCTATAACCCATACCCCCAGTGTAACTATGAACTCCATTTCCCAGCTTCCCTCCACACAGGCTCCTCCAGGATTGTCCTGTGCTTATTCTCATCACTGACTCACCAACCCTTCTCTTCTTAAGTCACTCCAGCCAGATTTTAACCTGACTCCACTGAAATAACTCTTGACAAGGTCACAAGCATTCTCCATCTTGCCAGAATTTGGGATTAATTCTCAATCCTCATTCTCTATTCCTACTATTTTGGAACATTTTTATTTTATATCTGTGGCTGCTCCTTCTCCATCTCCTTTGCTGCCCCCTGTTTCAAAGGTCTAAATGGTGGAGTGCCCCATGAATCAATCCTCAGGCCACTTCCCCTAGCTGCTCTCTTCTATTTGCATGCGTGCCTTAGATGATCACACTCAGACCCACAGATTTAAATTCCAACCATAAATTAAGACACCCAAGATGTATATCAGGCCATAATCTCTCCCTGAGCTCCAGGTGTATGTATTTCAACTGCCTACTCAACATCTCAAACTGGAAAGAATAGTAAGACACCTCAAACTTAAAATATCCAAAACATCAACTCAGTGTCTACCTTCCAACCTGCTCTTCCTACTTTCCCCACCTCTGTACACTGTGCTTCCACCATTCACCCAGCAGTGGAAGCTAACACCCCTATCTCCTCCCCTGATGCCTCTTCCCCACATACTACACTTAACAGTCCCTTCAGCGTCTTCTTTTTGGCACTACCTTCCTACATATGAAGTCTAACAACTTCTTACTACCTCCTACCATTGCCATTCTATCCCAACCACCATTACTTACAGGCTGAACAGCTGAAATTGCCTCCATACTGGTCCTTCTTGCTTTTGTACTAAACCAGAGGGATCATTTTAGACCCTAAAGCAGACTAGGTTTCAATTTCTCTTAATGACTGTATTATCTAGCCCTTGCCTAACTCTGACCTCATGTCGTTATTTTCTCTCCTTCCACCCCTGGTTCTAGCCATAAGGACCTTTCTCCTTCCTCAAACATGCAAAGCTGTCTTCCTCCTGCAGCCTCTTCTGTCTGCTCAGAAAGCTCCTTCCCTAGAGAGTTACATGGCTTGGGCCCTTACTTCACATCTCTCTTCAAATATCACCTCCTCAAAAAAGCCCCCCCTCCTCATTTGTCCACCTTTCTGTATGCATATTATACTACAATAAAACTTATTTAAAGGAAGAAAGTAAGAAAAGAAAAAGAAAAAGAATAATATTGCTTAAAATGTCTAACTTTGAATCAACAGTTGTTAGTTTGACTAAATGTTTCATGGCTTAACTGATATCATCTTATTCACTTGGAACCTCTGATTTTTTTTTGTATTAATACTTTTAAATTTCATTTAATTACCTAAGTGTGAATGAAGAAAAAAGCAAGATTTTGGAAGAAAAAGCATGTTTTTCTTTCCTTTGGTAGACAGTGAGTCAGAAGATACTAACATTTATAAAGAGTGTGGGCAATGAAATGACACTATTGTTACAAATAAGAACCTCTAAACTAAAACACGTCTCCTCAGACAAACCTAAACATACAGAATGCAAAATACAAAATGATAATGTATGTCTCTATATAAATAATTTTAAGGGCATTTTTAAACAAGAGGTTCAAAGAGAGATGAAAATAGCACAGAGGTAGAAGCTACACCAAGGGATCAGTCTCCTTATAATCTATTACATTCATGTTTCTTACTGATGTGAATGTAGATACATACGCCTGTGTGGAAAAAGGCAAATAAGAATGATATTCTGTGATCTAAGGATCTATCTTATAGAATAATCTAGAGTAATGAAACTTTAATAGCTGATAAAAGATCTGTTATTACAACATCAAACATATTTTCTTCTTTGCAGTCTTTTAGTTCCTCATTTAAAATTTATGAGAAAAGCTAGAAGAAAAAAAGCTTCTCTAACTATAACTAAAATAGCCTCCTATCCCACACCGTTCTATTCCCTTACTCTTCTTTTTTCATAGCACTCTCTTATTACTTGACATCACATTTTCTATTTACTTACAGTTACTATGTTTCTTATTACAAGGTAAACTCCATGGGGACAGGGATTCTACTGGTCTTGTTTACCACCGATTGATAATGTCTAGGTAGGGCCTAGCTCAGAGGGAGGAAGGAAGTTCTTTCTTTCTATCAACGGAAAAAAGAAAGCAACTGAATCAAAATACAGGTAGAATGGTTGTCAATAGGGAATGAAGAAATAGCATCTATATCCCACGCACCCTTCAAAGGTTAAGGAAAATTGGAGAGAAAAAAGAAGAGTCGTAAATGGCACAAAGAAGTACTTCTATTACTGTCACCAACTAAGACCTTAATTTCTTCCTCAGGCCATGGAACTATTAAAGGGCACTTTCTAAACAACATCAGAAGGGTATGCCTCCGACCAACTTAGTTGGGCAGTTTCCTCTGGTGATGGCGTCCCCCTGCACAACTGGCCCTTACTCACTTGGATATTGTCTTCCTTTCCTCACAACTTTCCAGGGCTCTTTTCCTTGCTCCAATAAGGCAATCACATCTGGTTTAGAAATGAAGCATCCTGATTAAAAGAAAAGAAACATAAGGAGATATGGAAATTTAAAATATATTCATAATTACTTTGATTCAGTCTTGGTTAAATTTTTAACAAACTACAGGTCAAATGATAATTGATAAAGTCTTTAGAACACAGAAGGGCAATGAGGTTAAAAATATTAATACTTAGGTTACATAATAGAGATTAAAGAGGGAGAAAAAGGTTTTATTTTAATTTATATTCATACAAGTCCTCTTTCTTAAGAGGCCACAGTGGTTGAGAGCATAGACCAACTGGATTCAAATATGCAACATCCCAGGTTGTTGTTACTTGTACGCTTTATTTTGCTCATCTATAAAATAGGGATAATAATAGTACCTATTGTACATGATTGTTGAGAAGGTTATAATAATGCATATCTGTATCTAAACATTGCCTAGAATATATATAAGTGCTACATTAATTTTATTAACTATTATTTATCGTTGTTGCTATTTTGCCAATAGGAAAATAAGAAGCATCCTGAGACATTTATTGTTATTTCTTAGGATATTCATATAATGTTAAGTGCAAAGTTCTTGGATTTTCAACTTTCAGTTATAAAAGTAGGCAAAAGTGAGTGTGTTTATTAACAAAAGAAATGAGTTCTCTTGAAATGTAAATAAATCTTGTTGATCCAACTTATCACTACAAATATTATGTGTCCTTTTGATAGAGAAGCTATTTTCCTTACAGGTATACCAACAAATAACAAAACTCCTACGGCAATTCTGAGTTCAAATACACAAAGCGAAATGTGATCTATTTGACACTGGTAAGGCTGTAAGCCACCCAGATTTCAAATCCAGCTCTTCCATCATTAAGGAAGGCCTGAAGGCCACTTAAGGATGGGAAAGATGAAAATGCTTAATGGAGGTGCTCACTTCCAAACGAATAAAGCTCAAAGCATTCCCCTGAGTACAGGGAGCAGAAATTTAGACAGGTTCTTTAAAGATATTCCTGAAATTCCAGAGAAAAAAGTTGATACTACAGAGAAAAGAGTCTGAATTAGTAGAGGCCGATAATCTTACCCAATGAGACCAAGTTTCTATAGTTCTCTAACATTACATCTCTGTACAGATCCCTCTGTTCTAAGTCCAGGCACTCCCACTCCTCTTGAGAGAAGACTATAGACACATCACTGAACATCACTGATCCCTGAAATGACAAACCATATAATACAACTGAAATTAAAGAAAATTTGCTTTAAGAAGGAAGGAGAAAAGAGGGAAGAGATACTGCAGGAAACAGACCAGATAGCAAGCAAAGAGGCTCGGGCTGGAACTTGTAACATGAGTTAGGAAATCAGTGCACCGGCAGCAGCATGCCCACGCGTCCTCGAAGAATCCTGTTGCTACAGATGCAGCCTTTTGTATAGTCTGGCACATCTAAATTATCCAAACATGTCTGGGAAAGAAAATAAAATCAATTTTCCAATTAAATGAAATACTGTATAAGGCCTTCTACTTACTATATGTCTCCTTCATAAATTATGAAATGTGCGTTCTTCCACCCTTTCCCCTTAAAGAACAAATTTTTTTAAAAAGTTTCCCTACAATATCTTCTGTTAGAAAAGGATCTGAATACAATTAAAGAATTTCCTTCAAGTTCATCATTGAATCAGATCATATCATATGCAGTTTCCAATTTATGACAGATGCTTTAATGAACTTAAAAAAATGGTTGTATAACAGTCTATGCAATGGATATATAGAATAATCATTATACTTACATATTTTTGATCTATAAAAAATATTTACAGTTCTCCTCAACTCTGAGAATCTACAACTACTTCTGTATCTGACCTTCTCACTTGCTATGATTTTCCATCCCTTACTGTATGCATTAGTTGTTCCTGAGTTAGAAGATACAGATATAGATTTTTGATACTGATGATCCCTAATCACAAAGATGTCATTCTAGGCTAGCACATCCTATTCAACCCTGTTCCTACTGTGTAACTCTTAGGGATTCCCAAGAAAGATCCCTGATCTCTCTGCATGAAAGACCCAACCACATCCCTACGCACTTCTATAAGCTTCACAAAGGCTGATGCTGAGGCTACCAGCAGCAAATCTTATATACAGTCGACCCTTGAACAACTCAAGGATTAGGGGCACCCACCCCTTCAACAAAGTGGAAAATCTGCCTATAATTTTTGATTCTACAGAAGCTTAACTTCTAATAGCCTACTGTTAAAAAGTTTTACTGATAAACAATTAACACATATTTTGTATGTTTATATGTATTGTATACTGTATTCTTACAATAGCATAAGCTGGAGATAAGAAAATGTCCTTTCACATTGTTGCAAACTCTAAAAAATTTCCAATATATTTACTGAAAAAAAATCCACATGTAAGTGAATCTGTGTTGTTCAAGTACAAGCTGTACTTGGAAAACTCCAGTATGGAAAGGTCCTGTGTTTTCCCATGAGTAGTTAAATGGGCCCCTCCTCTCTCATCAGCTCCTGAGAGATGGTCAAACATCTCCCTCAAGGGATTTCATTTCTGCTCACTGCAGCTCTTAGCAGAAGACTGAGCATATACAGGAGTAGCTGAATGATTTGTTCAATGAATACATAAACAATGACTGTAAAAAAGAGCATTCAGAGGATAGACATTGTGCTTAGTCTCATGGCCTCACTGGATTTGCAGGAATTGAGAGAAGATCCTTAGATCGGGATCTCATAGGTAGGAAGTTTCAGGATAAGGCAATGCTCCTGCAACCTAAACATGACAGTTATTTCCATAAGGAGAAACAGTAACTTACATGGGCCATGATTTAGAAATTCAAGAACCGGTCAGTTCGCCTTGGGGTTTACTAGGCTGGAGAAGCAGAGCTTACAGAGGCCAGAGCTAAGGGGAGGAAAAAGAGATCATGAGATCAGATACTTCTCAGAACTCTGAAAATATTCAAATCAGTATGTCCTTCCCCCCTCCCCCAACCCCCCACCCCCCAACACACAGAGGGCAATATGGGGAGTCTGGACAAATCTAATCCCTAATTGAAAATTCCAGGGCTGGTAAGTGGACACATCATCTAAACCAGAATCTCTTTCAAAGCCTCACAGCCTGATGGAATTCATCAGATACAAAGAGATTCATTAGGAACCAACCCTGGCAACCATTATCATTGCCAAATTACTGCACTGACAGCCCTGCCTACCTGCAGCCAGGACAATAACTTCCAGAATCTTCTGGGCTCATCACTCTTTTCAGTCAGAATCATCCACATTGCTTTCCTGCATGCCTTCATTTGCCATTCTCTTTCTTACAACCTAGGTTGAAGAGGTGTGGATTCATGCTCTCAGCAGGCAGACAGTAACACATATCTACTCATCAAGAACTTCTGTATAATAGGTTTTACATACATTAACTGTACCCTCAGGATTGCTACATAGTATAATAGTTATCCTATCTATGCAATGGATCAGAAGTTTTACACTAAAAGAGGTGAAATCATTTGAGAAATTCAATTAATAAGTAGCCAGGTTGCATTTGGAATCCTTATTTTTCTAATCACAAAGTCAGCTCCCATTCAAACTAGCTCCTGCCTCTGAAACCTAAAATCTCTTCTTCCAATGACAGAAACATAATAGAGTATGTTTCTATTCTATTCCTCACTAATAAAAGTAACACATCAAATCACCAAAAGACATTAAATCTCACTTTAAAAGGTACTGATGCCCATATTAGCAAGTTTGTGAGAAATGGACATTTTAACCTATAGACTGTGTGAATTAAGAAATACGTACAAGCAGCATTTAAATCATACAAATCCTTTGACACATAAATTCTACTTTGGGGATTAAAGAAAATAAATGTATATGTGGACAAGATATAACAGTGTGGTGACAGACATTTTTCATAATGGAAAAAAAGCTGGAAAGAACCTAAATGTCCTTCAGGAGAAAATTAATTAAATAAATTAAAAGCATCCATTGACTGAAAAAAACTTGCCATTTAAAAATGATGATGTGGATCTTTAACTGGAAGATGGAAATATGTTTGCTACATGTTGTTCAGTGACGAATGAAGATAACAATAGTTGTGACTAGTGTGATCCTGTTACAGTAGGGCAAAAACACCTACATGTACATATATAAGTATGTGCATACTACTCACGAAATGCTAAGCTTTAGAAAATATATAAGGATATACAAAAAAATTCAAGACATGTAGCCTTTAGAAAAATAAAATGGATATTATGATTATATTTATAAAGTATATATACATTAGCATAAAGAGGCATTGACAGAAAAAAAATCTGCAAAGACTGCTTATTTTCACATTGAGATCTTAATTTCCTTCTTTTTGCTTACATTTACTTCACAGTTTTATATGGCCATATATACCAGAACTGTGTTTTAGAATTTTTATAAAAAGGAAGTTTTCTTCAAATTGGTGAAAGAGTCTCACTTTTTAAAGCAGTCATCCCTTGAACTTGGAAGAAAACAAGCTGTTTTTATTTATTTTAGCTCCCAATATATGATCCAACTGTGATTTGTAAGTCTGTTTATGAATGTTAGAATTCTGCCTAGAAAAGAATGGTTAAACATCCTCCATCAATGCCTTATCTCACTGCTGCTGCCTCTTATAAGTTGGCTGATGCATTTGTCTTGCTTCTGAACCAGTCATTTTAGCCATGATGCCTTCCAAAGAACTGCTGAATCTTCCTGTCCTATTGGTCTCACTTTGTATCAACATCATGAGACTAAAAACTGTAAGGCACAAAGCTGATTACATAAAATCCACTTACCTCCACAAAGTCCCATGGATTTAGTATTATTTAGCAGCAACCTGACAATTCTTGTTATAATCAGATGATGCCTCTTCTTTCCAGGAATGACCTATAATAAGTTATGCCACCTGACTTCTTCAATAACTTTCATCACACTTAGTCTTACTCCTGTAGAGGTTTATGGACTTTGATACATAATAAGCAACTCAAGAGTAGCAGCCGTGTCATTTTAGACATGTTAATTTCCCCAAGTATAAGTACAAGATGAGAGGATCAGGCATATTGTGAGAACTTATAAATGTCTGATGATTCAACCTAGAAATTCCATTCTAGGAACTTAACCTCAAAAATATTGTAAAAGTACACAAGGGCATATATGCAAGGAGGTTTACCAACGAATATGGATAATGCTGGGAGATGGTTGACTCCTATACATGAAGAACACAGGCCTTGTTGTTAGGATCCAGGATATGAATCTAAGCTCTGACAGTTATCAACGAGGAGACTTTGGACATGTTACTTAATTTTCAAAGCCTCTGTTTCCTCATAGATAAACTGGAGAATAACAGTATCTAATAGAGTTGTTGTGAAGGTTAAGTAATGTAATATATATAAAGCATTTAAAATGGTTCATTACAAGCACTGAATAACATGAAAATCATTACATGCATCATACCGTTTATTAAAGAAAATTATCTTTAATATTTTTGATAAATTATCTTAAATAATTTTCTTCAATAATTTATTACTAGGCTCTTTTTCATATAGTAAGCTTTCTGAAATTTCAGAACTTCTCTTTCCTATATCATTAATAAATTTTAGAACCAAGCTTGAGAACGTAATTCTTCTTACTTAATAATATTAGCAAAAAAGATTCACAAAAATCAAGAAGTAGAGCATGGCCCCCTTTCTCTCCATCCCTAGCAGCTCCAAAGAGACTCCCATTCACTATCATAAAACTCAAGAAATCTGATGTAAGGTGTCATACCAAACACATTAAAAACATTTGATCGAGCTCTTCTGTATAACAGGTTTGAATATTTATCACTACTCCCACTTTTTTCCCTGCTATAAATCTGTAAAGAGGAGCAACCTCAAACCACTAAAAAAAGTCTCTGATTCTGAATGGGTATCTTACTTGATAACTTGTTGCTCTGGTAAATGCCTCCATTATCCTGACAAGCGCACATTACTTTTTCAGATTAGAGGGGAACCACTGTACTCCACTCACTCTGTATAGACACAGCAATATAAATCTTATGATTGCACTAGACTCCCTTTTCAAAGTGTTAGACAATCTTTATCTCCTTAAATAATATTTGTGATTCTATTTTGTAAAGCAAACATATACACAAAAGTACACAGAAAAAAGTATCTGGGAAAACAAACATCAAAATAGTAATATTCATTAACTCTAAATGGTGGAACTATGGGCAATTAAAACTTTTCTTCTTTATAAGTTCTTAGTTCTCTGCATTTTTTTAAGACAATAAACTTATCATCAGAAACAAAAATAAGCTATTTTCATACAAATAAAAAACAGAGCTGGGGAGAAAGTGTGAGTCTAAAGGCCTATTGTGACATGAGTGGGTTCAGCAAAAAAATCAACATGGCAGAAATAAGTAACACTTATCAGTTCTTTATTGCTAATCAAAACAAGGAGCTACCTTCCCTATCTTTCTTTTGTAACTGAACACAAGGTAAGCAGCATTCCTGAATTTACTAAAGGTATACCAAAATAGGACAGTATTGGGTACACAATATATGCTTTCTCTCTCTGTTTCTCTAGGAATAAAGTTTGGTATTTGATACAATCCTTGCAAAATGTCTTACAAATTTGTAGTTTATTAAAAGATATACATAATTATAATTTTCTTGAGTCATCTTGTTCAAAACCATGACTATTGCTTAAAATTGATCATTTACTTTTTTCATTTCTCACTGTTCACATATTAATGGCATACAATTGCAGCACATAAGTGAGGTGTAATTTATTTAATAATTTTCTATTGTTAGACACTAATTTTATTATCTCAATGCACATTTTCAGATATTAGTCTGATTCCAGGCTAGTGGATGTGAATCTTTTTGGATAATATCTGATAATCTCATTAAATTATGAAAATGAAAAATGGCATATTAACAAATATCTGCAACAATTTTACATACAATTTGCAAGGAGTTTTGGGTTCCCTGAAAACTCCAAATGATTTTAAATAATCTCTGGCTAAGAATTCTTTTTCCACACCATTTGAGCATCTTACTCTTCAAAACTAGGAAATGCCCACCACAATTAGCTTGGTATTTCCTGATTAGATCGTTTTTCTTATTTATTGGAGGCAGATGTCCCAAATCACTACCTACCAACAAATAGCTAATGCTTACTAAGTACTTATGAAGTACCAGACAGTTTCCAAAGAACTTGACACATTGTTACAAAAAGAAAGCTCACAGAAGTAATGGGAAGTACCTGCCAAATGGATGTGTACATATAGGCAGGAGGGAAGAGGTCTAGGTATCACTCAATGGGCAGCACTTTTAGGAAGGAATCAATGTTCCCATGTCCTAAAAACTAAAAATGTTATTTCACAGAACAAGAGGAAATATTCGCTCGCCTTGACATTAACTTTTAAATGGGCACTAGCAATTCATTCCACCTCCGCCTCTGAGCTCTTCTGTTTGACAGGACTTGGGAAAGACGGGAATCTTTAGCGAACAGGCCTTTCTTGGAACCCAGCCCAGCCTGGCTAAATTATGGCACGCCACGACCACATCTGTTCCCTACAACGAATGAGAGAGAAAAGTACCGTTGACTTTTCCCAGTACTAGAAAAACGCCCGGATCGCGGATGTGTGGACTGGAATTGGACTTCACAGCAGTTTCCTGGAGCAAACTCCGTGGCCCTGAAACCTGCAGCTGGAGCCCTGCGAACTGTGAGTGCGTGGGCTCGCGCGAGCCCCAGCATGTAGTGGGGTGGGACCACTACCAGAGCCAGCCTGGGGCGCACATACAGTTCTAATATTCTTATTCCAAGATCGGGCCTGAGCTTTTTTGCTGGAAGTCTTTCATCTTCGTTCAGATCTCTGACCCGGCGCAATGTCTCTGTGGCTGAGCCCGTGCTTTAAGAGGTCTGTGATTCAGCTGTGAATCCAGGGTCAGTTACACTGCCCACGGCCAGCTCCAGTCACACAAACGCCATGAGCCATCAGTCCAAGCCTCACAACGGCACATGATGCGATGCCACACCCCAGCCCCGTCACGCCCACGAACATACAGACACACAAATCAACGTCGTTTGTCACGCACACTGAGCCTGAGATTGCGCCACCCCTGACGCTGTGCACTGCAGTAACGCTGCCCCTCCCTCTCCTAATCCCCGGGCAGTAAAGCCTTTCATAAGGACGGTTGGTTTGTTTCCCCGAGCCAAAGGTAGGGCTCCTCACCTGGGGCGCCAGTCTCGCCTCCCGGCGCTGCCCAGTGGAAGCGAGGATGCAACGCCTCAGGCATGTCCACAGCCTCCGAGGCTAACGGGCCGCGCGCTGGGGTTGTCGGGAGCTCGGGCTGTACGCCCTGAGTGCGCAGGCGCAGCCAGCCCCAGGAGGCGGAGCATCATTCCAGCCAGCAAGCTGAGTAAGCCCAAGATGCAGTTGGGCCCCAGAGGGGGCGGGGTTCCCGGCTCTTTGTCCTGAAATAGTAGTGGCAGGGCCTGGGATGGGGCGGGAAGGAGCCGCTGGCTCGTTACGGGGCTGTGCACAAACGTCACTCTCCGTGGGGCTAACTGGGGACTCCGGCCACTTTCTGTGAGGGATGGCACTGTGCGTCTGTTTGGAGTGGTTCTAGGTTCGATTTTTTTCTTTGGGTGAGGTTTTTGTTTGAGACGGCGCGTCTGCGGGGACCGAGATGCGGTCTGAAGGTTTATTTAAGACTGGAGTTGTGTGTCAGGCTGTGCAGGACAGAATGTTGTGGGGGGGTCTGTGAAACTGAGTGCATGAGATTGTGTTTCTGTGAACGTGTCTAATTGAACATTTTTGTGTGGCTGTTTTGATATATTTGTTTTCCTTGGGCCCTCCCTGCAGACCATGGATTTGAGTCACTCAGTACGCGTCTGAGAAACGATGCGCCTGTGTGGCGGGTGTGTTTTGTTCTGTTCCTGCGGGACTGTAGATGGCTATCTGGAATGGGATGTGACCAGGAGTCTCACTCTCCTCAACGCTGATACAGAAAGGAGGGCTGTATCCTCAAAGAGCATTAGCTTTGCTGAAGAATTTGGTGAAAAACTGGTTTTTCTGGAAATTATGCATTTATTTTACAATTAATCACAGGTTTGTTATGGAGAATATAAATAAGATTTATATTTATAACTAAGATTTAAAGTAAGATTTCAATGGAAATTCCTGTCGTGCAGCAGTTGATTTGCATCTGCCCCAGATTCCTAGGAGTGGGCTTTCCCTCTTTCTTAGTGTTAAGGCGATTTTATTGGGAAGATTTAAGAAGCCCTAAGACAAAGAACATCTTTACATTAAAGAGAAGCGGTACAGCAAGAGCAGACAGCCCAGGATTAGGCTGTCAAATATCTTGGGTTCTAGATCAGGCATTCTTTTCCCTTTGTTAAAGGAGGGCAAGAAACTTAAGACTCAAAGCATGAGTTCATGCTGACATTACTAATTCAAATTTAACATTCCAGGGTTTTATTCTTATCTTTTATTTTACATTTCTGCTTTTTTTCAATACCAGTCCTTTCTCTAGAAATCCTGGTTCTGTAATATTAACGTATTTATTTGCATTAGTCTAGAATCACCATAAAAGTTTAAAATTGCAATGTCCATGTTATTACTAACAATAAAGCTAGTATTGTTGTACTTCGAAAGCAGGTTTTGGTAAACTACAGCCCACAGGCAAATGTGACCCACCTCCTGTTGTATAGCTAGTGCTTAAAAGAGCAGTGTCTATATTTTTAAGTGTTTAAATAAACAGAAGGATATTTTGTAAGGTGTGAAAATCATGCACTTCAAATTTCAGTGGCTATAGATAAAGCTTTATTGGAACATAGCCACACTCCTTTATGTATTGCCTATGGCTGCATTTGAGCTACCAGGGAATAATTGAGTAGTGACTAGACTGAATGGCCTGTGGAGCCTAAAATAGACTATTCTCATTCACAATAGTTTTACAGTGGTTGTAAACACTTGATTAGCAAACCATTGCTCCTAAGGGAAAAACAGGATTAATTTCCTGCAAGTTTCTGGTCACATTTTCATCAACTAATCAGTACATAACCTTGTTTTATGTGTTTTTATTAAATACACTTTTCATATTTTGTTGATTCATTAACACAATTCCTGGTCAACAGCACCATAACTCATGCCTGAATGAAGCTTATCTAACACATATTTTCTGTGTAAGGTAGGTACATCATCAGTCTTCTTGCACCTAAGAACACTAGACAGTACTTCAACACTATGCTTGGAGGTCATTTTAAACAGCAAAGTTACCAATAAAAAACACAAAAATGAGAAAAAAAATGTGGTATTAAACAGACTGTGAAAAGGACATTGTTTACAGTGTAATAGCTGAAACAAGAAAGCAGAGGGCCACCTTGTTTGAGTTAGGCTGAGAACATGTATGTTGGGGGGCTCATTTTTCATCACTGTTCACATATCCACAAATGACTCACAAAAGTGCTGTGAGCATTGACTGTGGGATTACAAATAAATTTTAGTAAGTATCTAAGTTTGCAAATATAGAATCCACAAATAATTGAGGATCAACTGTTTTTACTACCTAGCCCTTTATAAAAGAAGTTTGTCAGCTCCTGTTTTAGAGAATATTCCTCTTAATTATACAGTTAGTGTTTAAAAACTACTTGAAATAATTATTTTCCCTGTTCCAACAGTAATTTCTGTAATTGATTATATCCCATTAAATAAGAAAAAAATTAATAAACAAGGAAAGCACTTTATAGAATGCCAGCTAATAAGTTTGATTTTACATGGCCTGTGAACTCAGCTTCAAATACATTTACAATATTTGGTTTTAATAAGGACTCTGTACAGTATGTTTACCTTTAAGTTTAAGTCATTTCTATTATTTCCTCTCATGCCAGCTATCACCTGAAGTTAGGTGAGAGAGTGACATCATTAGAATGGATACATCTTCACGGCATGAAGGTTACTGAGTGGTGAGGTAGTATAACACAATTTATAGGGCAATACTGAGTTTTCTTTGAAATCAGTCCTGACTTCTTCCAATACTTGATGTTTGCCTTGCCTGCTAGCAATCAATTCTTCTTCTTCTTACAGAGCCTTGACACTCACAGTGCCACTCCCATTGGTGGAAACAAGGTGCTCAGGAAATAGCTTTCCCAAGCTGGGAAGAGCTGAACAAATGAGTTCTTATTATGGAAGCAGTGCTTGGAGCTTGTGGGCATCCTTGAATGCATTACTACAGGGGTGCTGCTGCAGTGGTCACTCCTTAGTTGTAGATTGCCTGGACCAAACACCATATTTATTTACTGAAGGGTTCTGAACCCCATTCCAATGTGTGTGTGGGGGGGGTGTTGGGGGAGTGCCTCGCAAAACCAATTCATGGACCAGTTGGGTGTCCTACAATTAAACGCAATTGTGACATTATCTACCCAGAGATAGCATCAAATCCCATAGGTTAAGGCTCAGTCCTACAAGACTTTCCTTCCCTAACCCTCATTTCCCCCACTTTATATGCCAGGTGTAAGTCCAGGTTATCACCAGTGTTTCTACCTATAGATTGGAGGTTCCAACAACCCCCACCCCCCTTAGGCTCAATTAATTTGCTAGAGTGGCTCACAGAACTCATAGAAACATTTTACTTATTGGATTACCGGTTTATTATAAAAGGATAAGAAACAGCCAGAGGGAAAAAATGCAAAGGGCAAGGTATGGGGGAAAGGGCACAGAGCTTCCATGTCGTTCCCCCAGAATATTCATATGTTCATCAGCCAGAAGCTCTCCTAACCCGTTTTGGGTTTTTTTATGGGCTTTCATTACCTAGGCATGATTGATTAAGTCATTGGCCATTGGTGATTAATCCAGCCTCCAATCCCTCTTTTATCCACCAGGTGTCAGAGTGGGTGGGACTGAAAGTTCCAAACATCCAATTACAGGGTTGGTTTTCCTGGCAGCCAGACCCATCCTTAGGTGTTCCAAAGTCACCTCAGTAACATATCAAGTGACACATTGACCTTCCAAGATTGATCCAGGAAGAAACAGAAAATCTGAACAGACCAATTACTAGCAGTGAAATTGAACTGGTAATCAAAAAACTCCCTAAAACAAAATTCTACATCTAGATGGCTTCACAGCCAAATTCTACCAAATATTTAAAGCAGAGCTAATACCCATCTTTCCTAAAGTATTCCAAAAAGTAGAAGAGGAGGGAATACTTCCAAACTCATTCTATGAGGCCAGCATCACTCTAATATCAAAACCAGACAAGCACACCACAAAAAAAGAAAATTACAGACCAATATCCCTGATGAACATAGATGCAAAAATCCTCAACAAAATATTAGCAAACCAAATCCAAAATACATCAAAAAGATCATCCATCATGACCAAGTGGGATTGATTCCAGGGATGCAAGAATGGTACAATATTTGTAAATCAATCAATATCATACACCAAATTAACAAAAAGAACAATGAAAACCACATGGTCATCTCCATAGATGCTGAAAAAGCATTTCACAAAATTCAATATCCATTCATGACAAAAACTCAAGAAAATGGGTATAGAGGGTACATACCTTAATATAATTAAGGCCATATAAGACAAACCCATAGTGAATGTCATACTTAAGAGCAAAAAGCTGAAAGCTTTTCCTCTAAGGTTGGGAATAAGACAAGGATGCCCACTCTCACCACTTTTATTCAACATAGTACTGGAGGTCCTAGCCACGGCAATCAGACAACACAAAGAGATAAAAGGCATCCAAATTGGTAAGGAAGAAGATAAACTCAGTATTTGCGGATGACATATTATACATACAAAATCCTAAAAAATCCACCAAAAAAACTACCAGAACTAATAACTGAATTCACCAAAGTTCCAGGATACAAAATTAATACACAGAAACCTGTCACATTCCTATATACTAACAATGAACTAGCAGGAAGAGAAATCAGGAAAACAACTCCATTTGTAATTACATCAAAAAGAATAAAATACCTAGGAATAAACCTAACCAAGAGGTGAAAGATCTATACTTTGAAAACTACAAGACACTCATGAGAGAAATTAAAAAACCAATAAATGGAAATCTATCCTATGCTCATGGAGAGGAAGAATTAATATTGTCAAAATGGCCATCCTGCCCAAAGCAACCTACAGATTCAATGCAATCCCTATCAAAATACCAACAGCATTCTTCAACGAACTAGAACAAATAGTTCTAAAATTCATATGGAACCACAAAAGACCCCGAATAGCCAAAGCAATCCTGAGAGGCAAGAACAACATAGGGGGAATTATGCTCCCTGACTTCAAGCTCTACTATAAAGCTACAGTAATCAAAACAATTTGTTGCTGGCACAAGAACAGACCCATAGATCAATGGAACAGAATAGATAGCCCAGATATAAACCCATGCATATATGGTCAATTAATATATGATAGAGGAGCCATAAGTGTACGATGGGGAAAAGACAGCCTCTTCAACAACTGGTGTTGGCAAAACTGGACAGCTACATGTAAGAGAATGAAACTGGATTATTGTCTAGCTCCATACACAAAAGTAAGCTTGAAATGGATCAAAGACCTGAATGTAAGTCGTGAAACCATAAATCTCTTACAGGAAAACAGGCAAAAATCTTTTGAATGTAAGCATGAGCAATTTTTTCCTGGACGCATCTCCTCGGGCAAAGGAAACAAAATAAAAGATGAACAAGTGGGACTACATCAAACTAAAAAGCTTCTGTACAGCAAAGCACACTATCAGCAGAATAAAAAGGCATCCTACAGTATGGGAGAATATTTGTGTAAATGACTTATCTGTTAAGGGGTTAACTTCCAAAATATATAAAGTACTCATATGCCTCAACCCCCCTAAAAAAATAACCTGATTAAAAAATGGGTGGAGGACCTGAACCAACACTTCTCCATAGAAGAAATACAAATGATCAACAGGCACATGAAAATATGCTCCATATCACTAATCATCAGGAAAATACAAATTAAAACCACAATAAGATATCACCTCACGCCAGCTGGAATGGCCACTATCCAAAAGAACAAAAAACAAATGTTGGCAAGCTTGTGGAGAAATGGGAAACCTCCTACACTGTTGGTGAGAATGCAAATTCATACAACTGCTGTGGAAAGCAGTATGGACTTTCCTCAAAAAACTAAAAATAGAAATACCATTTGACCCAGTAATTCCACTCCTAGGAATTTACCTGAAGAAAACCAAATCCCTGATTCGAAAAGATATATGCACCCCTATGTTTATCATTTCACTTAGCAACAGCCAAGATTTGGAAGCAACCTAAGTGTCCATCAATAGATGAATGGATAAAGATGTGGTACCTATACACAATGGAATATTATTCAGCCATAAAAATCCTGCCATTTGCAACAACATGGATGGATCTAGACAGTATTATGCTCAGTGAACTAAGCCAGGCAGAGAAAGACATACACCATATGATTTCACCTATTTGTGGAATATAAAAACAAAGCAAAACTGAAGAAGCAAAACAGCAATAGACTCATAGAAACTGGAAAGTGACTAAGGGTTACCAAGGGGGTAGGGCTGAGGTGGGTGTCAGAGGGAGGGGGATAAAAGGGCACAATAATTCACAATCACAATGTAAGTTGATCACAGGGACTGTTGGATCACTGGGATGTACATTTGAAACCAACATAAGATTGTATACCAACAGTCCTTTAATAAAAAAAGAGACATTTTGATCACTCTCTTCACAGGAAATTCCAAGGGTTTTAGGAGTACTGTGCCACAAACAGGAGGAAGACCAAATATATAATTCCTATTATAAATGACAATATCGTACTCACTCTACATAAGATCATCAGGTAGGCTTCTGAGTGTGAAATGCTCCTCAGGATGGCAGGCCAGTGCATTCTTAGTGACTTCAAAGCCTACAAGAAATTTCAAATGTGTCTTGTATCTTTACAACAACGTATTCATATTTAATGCAATGAGAGAGAGCAATAAAAAAAGTTTATAGCAATGGGAAAAGGATATGAATAGGCAGTTAATAAAAGTAAAAATATGTCGCTAACAAACATACAAATTTAATCAAATTAGTGTGAATAAATGTCTTGAAAGAAATGTCAGTTAAAATGAATTATTTTAAGTTAGAGAAAATTTTAAAAGATGAAGAGTACCAGGGTAGGCATGGAAGTAGAAAACAGTTATGCTCATGAGGACTGTTTAGTAATATGTATCAAAAGCCGGTGGTTCAACTTTTAGAAGTTATCTTAAGGAAATACTGGGACAAATACACAAAAATATGTGTGAACACTTATTCACCACAGCATTGTTTATAATAGTGGAAGTAGTACAAAACTGGGGAGAAGTTAAATTCAGGGGTTCCATATGTAAACTATTAATCCAAACAAAGTATACTATGTATAGATATGAGTGGTCTAGTGACTAGTGATATATGAGTGTACATTATTTCCAGAATAAATTAGGTCATGCAAATCACCAAGATTAATATGACCTTTAGTATGTTCTCACGGAAAATTTCACTTCCTTATATATCCACAAGAAAGGGAAAAAAATTTAATCTATTTGATGTATATTACAAGATCTATTAAAGTGATATTTAAATGTCACTTTACTATTATGTATTATGAACACACTTAAAATTACATCATGAACACTTATTGCATACCCTTAATAAATATTTTAATAGATTCATAATATCCTTTCATGCTGGATTTGGCTGTGTTTATTTCCCTTGAGAAAAGTGGCCTCACTTTTTAATATAAGGAAAAGTTATATGAGTTAGATGTCTAATATTGTTCACAGTCCTGGAAGGAAAATGTGACTCCATCTCCTGCTTGAGTTTTTGTTGTTGTTGTTTTTTTTTTATTTGGTTGGGGGAAGGAGTTCTGAATTCTATCTTGGCCTGCAATTTATTTCTCATATACAGAAAGTAATTGCAAAGGTTCATTTTCCAAAAAAGATAATGTCTGCAGAGCATTTTGTCTAGCCAAGGAGCCAGAAAAAGGGCCAAAGAGGAGGTTACCAAAGCATAATTAAAGTATAGGGAAGCTAAACTTCCTGGCATTTTAGAAATCTGGGCTGCAAGCAGAATTCTTGGTTTATGCTTCTTGTAAGTATAGATTTGTGTTCTTTTGTGAGCATAAAAAATAAGCCCAACTCACCTTATTGGAGATTTTTCCCATTTCTTTATTCAGGAAACCAGATGCTTTCCTGCCTATATTTCTCCTCTGATAGAGGTAAACCAGTATGAAAAAAAAGAAAAATGATTTTACTTGATACCTGTTCCTAAAAGGACCAGCAGTTTTTCATGATACAACTTTTTTCTTAGCCTAAATACCATTTTAGGCCAAATGATTCAGAAATAAAACATACATAACCTCATACTACTCAGAAATAGTGCAGAGTAAAGGTGTGTGTGTGTGTGTGTCTGTGTACAATTAGGCATTGGTGTTAAGATACCACAGAGGGAGACAGAAAGTTCTTTAGCTTGGGAAGAGAGACTTCAGGTTCTTTAGCTTGGGAAGAGAGACTTCAGGTTGGTGGAAGTGGGTGATTTCAGCAATTGATTTCTGAGCTAACATAGCATATTTTCCATGTATGGCTATTTAAGGCATCCTCCCCTCCTTGGAGATTTACTGGAGAGAGGTGACAACTGGCCATTCTTCACGTGCAGTCACAAATAATTGTTACCACTCTGCTTCCTTTAGATTTTAATACTTAGAAAAACAAACTATATCTTTTATCTTATTTATAGACAAGGTTTATGACCAGAATTCCTGTGTTCCTCCTGTGCATCTTATGATGCTGTCAAATTAACTTTCTACCTCAACACTATTGATATGCTGGGTCAGGTAATTCTTTGTTTGGGGGCTTTTCTGCACATTGTACGATGTTTATCAGCATCCCTGGCCTCTACCCTTGAGATTCTAATAGAGTCCCTCCCCCACCCATAGCTGTGACAACCAAAAATGTCTCCTGAGGGGTGGGACAGGGGGGCTGCTCAGCTTGAGAATCTTAGGCTTATTGTCCAGATTACTCTAAGATCTGGGCCTCTCTTACCGAGAAGATCTGTAATTGAGTATCATCGATTGGGTTATTGCTGTCCAGACAATTTTTATTAGGAAAAGCTAGGCAGTCAGCCAGAAAGACTGTTATATCCCAAGAAAATAACTCTGTAATTCAGTCATCTTACCAGAGACTCTTGAGGTGCAAGTAGCCAACCATGACTGAGAGAGTCAGATTCAGGAACATTACGGGATGTGATGGGGTTGCAGTCTCTGTCTCCTGTTTTAATTGTTGATATATTTTGGTTGAAAAATATATTGATTAAAAAAGAAAAACCTTGGTTAGGAAACCTAAGGTAAGCCTTAAAATTAATTATTTTTTGTTTTTGTTCTCTTAGAACATTTCTGCACCTTTTCTTTCAATCCTCTTCTTATTCTATGTGGGGGGCTTCCTTTGTTAAAATGGTAGTCAGCTTTCAAGACGTGCCTATGCACTGTCCCTTGGGGACGAGAAAACCCATAACCCCTCTCAAAAGATGTCATGGGACCTCAGTGATATCACGTATGACAATTTCAGAAATGTGTTATTGCTAAATAAATCCCACTTTTCTCCGTTATGGTTCTAGAATAGTAATTTTGGTTTCTCCTTGGCACAGTCTATACAAATTCAGAAATTCTGAACTGGGCATTGAGAGAAGGTAACAGAAAGGGATTTCTTTTTTTTAATGTCAAAATCTACATGAGGGAATAGGGCTGTGAGCACTTTGTCATTTGTTTCCCATTTACTTGCATTCATCCTCAAAACATTTAATGTTTGTGGAAGGTCTATGCCTGAATGCAATACCTGAATGCAAAGGTATTTGTGACTCCTTTGGAAACACTAAGCTGGTGTATATTAGTCTGATATTTATTCTTTATCAACTGACACAAAATTAAGTGACAATTATGTACATACCTTTGAATGTTCAATAAAGTTTTGTATAGCTATGTGGCTAATTAAACACATTTCTATCTTCATGTCCTCCTTTGTTTCATTGCCTGGCAAGTGGAACTTACTAGGAATACAGGGCACAGGATTTTCAGACATACTCTGCAGGAGTGAAGTACGTATTTTTTAAGTTAAAAAAAAATCAGTGAACCAGAAAACCCCAAACAAAGTATACATGTAGATCAATCTTCCCATAGATACAGAGGAAGAGGAGCTGTTGAGCAAAGACTTCTATATAGTAGAGCAATTCCCACAAACCCAAAGTAGCTATCCCAAAGAGGTTATAGGGGAGATACCCAAGGGATGTAACAACACTAGTGACACAATTGGAAAACAGAGGACATGCGTTCCTCATGTTGGAAATTTTTGTCAAAGTCAAGCCTTGTTAGACAAGACAGCTTGCACATCAGTTTGGAACCCAATACATGTTTATGAAGGGTAAGAAATTTAGACACATTCTTATTAATATACAACCATTCAAGATGGTAGAAAAGCCATATTGAGATGTTGTTTTTTAATCAATGCTGTGTAATGCTCAGAAAGTCCTTGCAGAAAATAAAACTAATAAATGTACAGCATGGAAGAATGAAGTCATACAAACACTATAATGTGGTAAATGTTTCCATTGTAGGTCAAATCTTTTCACTCATCAAAGTGTATCCATAAAAGAAAAGCTACATGTTAGAAATGTGGTAAGTGTTTTGACTGCAACTCAATTCTTCATGCAAGTAGGGAAACTGATTATTATTAGTATAACATGGGTTTCAAGCTGCTAAGCTCTCATCATCATTAGTCATTGAAGAGTCCACAAATGCATGACCATCCAGCAACAGAACATGATTTTAATATTTCACATTCATCTAGTGTCTTCACACTGGAATGGCCTTATCTGTGTGAAAGGGGAGCAACATTTTATTACTAGCACAGAACTAGAAGCACTGCATATGGTGTAGCCTTGTTTAGTTGCCAAGTGATGCAGCCTGCACACTGTGGATTAGCAGTAATGGTAGCAGACATTGCTGCTTTGCCCCATGATCTCAAAGGAAACATTTCAACATTTCAATATTAAGTATAACATTTTCTTCATGTTCTTAGATATCCTTTCTCAGTTATAAGAACTTCTTTCCTCATCTTTCTGAGAATTTTGATGATGAATGGATATTAATTTTATCAAAGGCTCTTTTCTGCAGTTTAAAGATGGTCCTGTGGTTTTCTACCATTAATCAGTTAATGTGGAGAATCATATTAACTGATTTTCTAATACTAATTCACACACCCAAGAAGGAAAATCATAAAAAGATCCACACACAAAAACATAATTATCATAAAAAATGCTGAAAGTTAAGCACAAAGAAAAAATTGAAAGCAGCAAGAGCAAACCAATTTGTCATATATAAAGGAACACTAATAAGGTTAATAGCTGACTTTTCAATAGCAAAAATGGAGGCTAGACAGCAGAAGGATGACATACTCAAACTGCTAAAAGAACAAAAGTCAAGGAAGAATCCTATATGCACCAAAGTTATTTTTCAAAAATAAAGGTGAAATAAAGATATGCCAGATAAACAAAAACTGATAGATTTATTTACTAGCAGATACATCTTACAAGAAATACTACTGGAACTTTGTCAAGCTGAAAGCAAATGATTCCAAACATTAATTCAAATCCATATGAAAAACAAAGAGTACTAGTAAAGACAATCATGTAATCATAAAAATTTATAAATGTGCTTTTTCCCCCATTTTTCTCTTTACTTACTTAAAAGCAACTGAATAGTTGATGTCTATCCTGATGGAGCTTTTTCTGTAGACTTACATCAATGGAAACCTCACTGAATATATATGTGGTCTCCTTTACTCAGAGAACTATGTGTTAGATCTGTGGGGAAGAACTATATGACGGGTCTGTAAAACTATGAAATACATAATAATCATTTAAAAAAATCTTAGGTATTGGCATATTCCAATGATCTGTACTCTTCTGGGGCAACAGCTTAGGAGGGAATATGATTCGAACTTATTCATGATTAGAGGATGTCTGAAACTAAGAATGAGGCAGATTCATCTATTCTGACTGTAAACGTGGCCCTTAAATAAATTGTTCAAAGAAACTGGATCCCAGAGATCATAGGTGGAGAATTGTTTAAGTATGTCCATATTCGACGGTGAGCAAAGAAGCCCAATTAAAAGAATTTTGGACGGACAATAACTGTGGATCGAGCCAAGTTCATTTTAAAAGGGCCGTCGTGAAGATCAGGACGCAGACTTTGGAGGAACTAAGGTGATCGGAAGTGGGAGGAATCACAATATGTATAATTCCTTAAAGTTTTATTGACTTTAAATAATTTTGCCTATGGTACACATAATTTGAAAAGCCCTTTATACGTTTTATAGAAAATCAGCTTGCATTTTTGGCTCAGTTTCTCTAGTGTTTTCTGAGGATGGAATAAAAATAAAATTTATCAGTTAAAAAATAAATAGGTAAATAGGAATGAATAAAATGAAATATACAATATTTGGGGGCTATAACACATAGAAATATAATATATTTGCTAGTTAACAATACAAAGAAGGTGAATAGGAGCAAAGATGAACTGGGCTAAGGATACAGCACCAGATAAATGGTTGATGACTCCAATCCACAGGAACAAAAGAAAGTCATAGATGGTCAATAAGTTAATACACGAACTCTATAAATATATACTTGTTCTCCTTTCTTATCCAAGCATCTTTAATAGGCATAACATTATATAAAGCGATTGTTAATATAATGGATTGTTGTGTTTGCACTATATATAGGTGTAATATATATGATAATAAAGCAAAGAAAGGGAAGGAATAGAGCTATATAGGAGTAACATAATCATATCTCACTGGACTTAATTTGAAGTAGATTTTGATCATGTAAGATATATATGCTAAGTCCTAGAGTAACCACTGAGAAAATAACTAAAAAATTTCTGGTAAAAAAATCATTAAAATAATTTAAATGTTCTGTTAGAAAATATTTTCTAAGTAAAAAAAGTAAAGGCTAATAGAGGAACAAAAGGACATAAGACATACAAAATGAAAAGTAAAATGGCAGCAATACATTCAGTATCAGTAATATTAGACATGAATGTGAATGTATTAAAAAATACAACCAAAGGCAGGGATTATCAGACTATTTTTTAAACAAGATCCAACTATATGCTTTCTACATGACACCCTTTGATTCAAAGTTACAAAAAAGATATAAAAAAAGGTGTACTATACAAACACCAACCATAACACAGCTGGAGTGGCTCTATCAATACAGTCAAAATGTATAAAACAAAAAAATGTTACTAGAGATAAAGAGGAATGGTTTATATTGATAAAAAACACAATCTATTAGGAAGATATAACATTTGAAACATATATGCACCTAATACCAAAACAGATGACTTAAAAAATTGGAAAAAATAAAGAGAAATAGACAATTCAACAATAATTGTTGGAGAGTGTAATATTTTTTTTTCAATAATGGATAGAAAAACTAGGTAGAAGATCAGCAAGGAAATGGAGGACTTATACCACACTATATATCAACTAATCTAACAGACATCTGCAGAATACACTGTCCAGCAATTCTGGAATATGTATTCTCTCCAAGTACACATGGAACACCCTCTAGGATAGACCATGGACTAGGTTACAAAACTAGCCTCAAATATTTTAAATGATTGAAAACATACACATTATGTTCTCTGACTAAAATGGAAATTAGAAATCAATAACAAGGAAATTTGGGAAGTTCACAAATATGTAATTTAAAATGCACTCCTAAATAATCAATAGGTCCATGATTTCAAACTATGTTATAAAGCTGTTGTAATCAAAACAGTGTGGCATTGGCATAAAAACAGACACATGAATCAGTGGAATGTAATAGAGCGCCCAGAAATAAACCCATACATATATGGCCAATTAATATATGACAAGGGAGCCAAGAATATGCAATGGGAAAAGGTTCAGTCATTTCAATAAATTGTGTTGGGAAAACCCAACAGCCACTTGCAAAAGAATGAAACTGGACTACATCTTATGCCATACACAAAACAACTCAAAATGGATTAAAGACTTGAATATAAGACCTGAAGCCATAAAACTCCTAGAAGAAAACATAGGCAGTAAGCTCCCTTACATCAATCTTGATGAAGACTTTTTGGATCTGACTCCAGAAGCAAAAATAAGCAAGTGGGACTATATCAAACTATAAGATTCTGTATAGCAAAAGAAACCATTAACAAAATGGGAAGACAACTTACTGAATGGGAGAAAATAGTTACAGATAATATATCTGATAATGAGTTAATAGCCAAAATATATAAAGAATTTACACAATTCAACAAAAACAAATAATCCAATTAAAAAGTGGACAAAAGATCTGAATAGACATTTTTCCAAAGAAAACATACAGATGGCCAACAGGTATACAGGATGCTCAACATCACCAATCATCAGGGAAATGCAAACCAAAACTACAATGAGATGTCACCTCACACGTGTAAGCACATCTATAGTCAAAAAATAACAAGAGTTGGTGGGGTTGTGGAGAAATTGTAACCTTTGTGTGCTGTTGGTGGGAATGCAAATTGGTGCAGCCACTATGGAAAACAGTATGGAGGTTCCTCAAAAAATAAAAAATAGAACTACCACATGATCCAGCAATTCCATTTCCAAAAAAACAAAAACACCAACTCAAAAAGATATATGCACACCCCTAGACTGAAGCACTATTTACAATAGCCAAGATATGGAAACAACCTAAGTGTCCACTGATGTATGAATGGATAAAGAAAATGT